AATAAATATACATTACAATTCATATACCCGTATATCAACAAATGAATTTGAGATTTATCGTGAATAACTGAAATGAATGGTATTTAAAAAAAGGATTTAATTTATTATAAAAATTCTTTTATGACAATATATTTGTACATTCTATGTTCCTCTATTCAGAAAATCCCATGATTCAGCAGTCTTAAAAGCAATTTGTTTTTAACTTCATAACTGTGCAAAATATATGAACAATGAAATCAATGAGAATAAATAATTTTTGTGTAAATACTCCTAAACATGATTTTATTTGAACAATAACACGATTTTAAAAAAGTATGTACATTGTATAGAATTGAACCCTCTGCCTCTCATTTGTGAGGCTGGGGTTGTATTTTTGTTTAGACTAATAAAGAATTATTTCTGATGTAAAAGAAACATATTCCCTCACCCATAGCAATAATTTTCATTCTTGCTTGATTCACATTTTTTAACAAAACTTAGTTTTTCTCCTTTGCACAATTCTACTTATGGACTATTTAGGATTTCTTAATAATAAAGTTATGATATTTCCTCTCCACTTGGACTACCTCAATCTTTAACAGTCAGTTCAACACAATTTTTGTTCAGTTCCTCCTATTGTTATACTAAGATTTCAAACTAGATTTCTTGACGAAATTACTTTTTTCAATCATTCTAGTCATTTATGAATACGTTACTTTCTGTCAGGTATAAAACGAGATGCTGTAACAATTTTTTCAACTCACATCGCTAAAGGCTCACCAAAACCTATTGGAGTTGATGACACGCTTAGAGCTGAAGCCATCAGTAAGTCTTACTGTCCGTGCATAAGTACCTTGGCAGTTATTCGATGCTCATTATGTCTCCATGACAGTAATTTATTTTGTGTGGATTTGTATACAGCATTTCACAATATAGTTTTCAGTGATGGCTATTACCAACCCATGTGGTATTGTTACATTATGTAATAAGTATCTTAATGAATTCTGTGACTTCTCCCAATGATTTCACAGGTAAAATTTGTCAAGAAAATGGTGAGGTAGATCCGGAGTGTTTTGCCAGCTGTCGGAGATTTGTGTTAAATAAGCTAGAATCAGAGTAAGTGTTCACTCGGCTCAATCTGAACGGTAGAACAGGTTTACATATGTAATGTCATTAGTTTAGCCCATAATGAAATAGTAAAGTTTTATTAAGAAAATCTTTTTTGAGGAAAATAAAAATTGCTAAATAACAGATAAAGAAAAACAATGATAAACGTTTTAAATACCCGGTACAAATT